AATGTGTGCATTTTACTGGATATAAATTATGTACCAATAATGGTAATTTTTTTTAAGCTACCCATTCCCGTAAAGAAAAAGAAAAAAGAATTGAGTTCTATATATTAAGTTTGAGAGACCTATTGCATATCCAAGTGGAATATTATTGAGAGTCTTTATTTATTTATTTATTTATTTATTTATTTATTTATTTATTTAATTTTATTTTTACAGAGAGGAAGACAGAGGAATAGAGAGTTAGAAACATCAATAAAAGAGAAACATTGATCAACTGCCTCCTGCACACGCCCCACTGGGTATGTGCCCGCAATCAAGGTACATGCCCTTCACTGGAATTGACTTCAGTCCACAGGCCCCGACACTCTATCCACTGAGCCAAACCGGTTTGGGCAAGAGTCAATAGTGTATGTAAAGCCATACATAGGATAGGATGAGATTACCTTGAGATTAGGACTATGGTAAATGTAGATAGAAAAGAGGTCAAGGACTGAATTTAGGTCATTCATCATTTAGAGGCTGAAAGAACCAGCAAAAGAGACTGTGCAGGAGTGATGTAGAAGGAGAACTAGAACCAGAACTCCTGGAAGTCAAGAGTATTCTGAGAGAAACTGAGGCAGATGAAGACTGAGAACTGACTGCTGGATTTAGTAACATGGAAGCTGCTGATAGCCTTAAAAGAGCTACTTTATAGAGTAATTTGGACAAAAGCATCATTGCAATAGGTTTAAAATAGAATAGAGGGCCTAAAAAGTGAGAATAGAGACAGACCAAAATAATTTTAGATACATAAGAGGTACAGGTAGGCTCTGGAAGTAGGCTTGAAGCCATTTAAGTGCGAAATTCTGGAAACTCAAATACCCAGAACATGTTTATGAGCTCTGGACAGGTGTGTTCAATAATGTACCCATTAGCCACATGTGACTACTCCAAATTGAGATGTGCCATATAAATTTAAAATACATACTAGAATTGGAAGATTGTAAAGCATTAATACTTTCATATTAAAGGAATTAATACTTTCATATTAAAGGAATGTAAAGCATTAATACTTTTATATTTATTACAGGTTGAAATGATATTTTAGATATATTAGGTTAAATAAAAATATTACTAAATTACTTATTGCATATACCTTTTTAATGTAGCTACTGAAAAAGTTTAAATTACATTTGTGGCTCATGTTGTATTCTGCTGGACATCACTGATCTAAACGTCTTTGGAAGACTTTTGTTGTTATTTTTTTAATTTTTAATTTTAATTTTTTTCTTTATTGATTAAGGTATTACATATATGTCCTTATCACCCCATTGCCCCCCTCCCCCCCACTCATGCCATCAACCCCCTGGTGTTTGTGTCCATTGGTTAAGCTTATATGCATGCATACAAGTTCTTTGATGGATCTCTCTACCTTACTCCCACCCTCCCCTATCTTCCCTCTGAAGTTTGACAGTCTGATCGATGCTTCTCTGTAGAAAGTGGTTATAGGGTTAATTCTGGGATTGACCTGCTGGCAGAGCTGCAAACAAGTCCCAGCTTAGAAGGCACAGCCCTCTTAGCATAATTAAGCTTGGTCTTGTGACTGCTTCCTAGATCTTTCCTGGAAAGTTAATGAGCTGTGTGGGGTGCAGCAAGTGCTGCCAAAACAAGTGAAACTTACAAGAATATTGTAAATTACATTGTTTACCTCTGACTATAAAATAAAGCAAAGGCTTGCAGTCTGTTTCAATCACACACAGATGATCCACCTAGACCCATCTTATTCTCTTTGTCTGTCTTTTCTTCATCCTTCGCCGGCCTTGGTTGTGCTGGCGCAGCACACTTCTCTGTCTGGGTCTGTTTTTGTTCATCAGTTTATGTTGTTCATTATATTCCACAAATGAGTGAGATCATGTGATATTTATCTCTTCTGACTGGCTTATTTCCCTTAGCATAATGCTGTCCAGTTTCATCTATGCTATTGCAAATGGTAAGAATTCCTTCTTTTTTAATGCAGCGTAGTATTCCATTGCGTATATGTACCACAGTTAAAACTTTTATTATTAAAAGGAGTAGAGAAATGGGACAATAGCCAGAATGATATCATGGAAAGAAATTTGTTTGTCTATTTATAGATGGAAAATATTGTATTAGTTTGTATACTGATAGGAATAATTCAGTAGAGTGAGAAAATACTGGTAATACAAGGGAGGTTCTGATATATCCATGATGTTTACAAGGGAGAAAGGGGACAATGTCCTTGTTTAGACAAGAGGAGGGATTGGTCTTATATAGGATGCCTAGAGTTTTATCTGTAGTAACAGAAGGAAGGCAAAATATATGAGTACAGATACAGGTCAATAAACATGTATGTTGGGCTAGAGCAGGGGTCGCCAATTGGTGGTCCATGGACTACTAGTGGTCCATGAGGTCTGAAAGGTTGGTGACTGCTGGTCTAGAGGATGAAGAAGTTCAAAATGAGAACAGAGTAGTACTTGGTGGTGATCAGAGAGACAGATGGTATGAAATAGTTGTCAAGGTGTGAGAGAGTGAATTTATTAAGTATAGTAGAGTTGCCTAGTGATGTTTTTGTTGGATCTCTGGTACTATCCTAGAAGCACATTGGATCAATATGTTAATTAGTCAGGGTTCTGGTAAGAAAATCAAAGGGGACTATTTACAAGTATATAGAAAAACTACAAAGTATAGTGCTATGCCTTCGGGTTTACTGAGTTTAGGCCTGAACCCAGAGAAGGAGATACCTGACAGCCACTGTGGCCTTTGACTGAAGGACAAAATTAAACAGGGTGGTGTTACAAGGAGGGAGTCAGGGGAAAAAATGCTGAGCCTTGCTCACCTCCCTCCCATATTTTGCATGTGATTTTTAACTCAACTGAAAATGGGATAGGAAAAAGGAGTCTCTTGGTGTCATCAATATAAGTTGGCCTTCTGCAACACAAAAGTGTAGAGGGCTACATGAAAGTTATGTCACACTATGTAGTTGTATGTTTTCTTTTCTCTAGCCACATTTATTCATATTTTGCTGTGTAGAATAACCATATTTCATATATTATTATCCTACCTAATAAAAGATCAATACACAAATTAACCATTACTCTGTTCCACCAGCCATGCCCACCAGCTACGCCCCACCACCCAATCAGAGCGAGTATGCAAATAAACCCAACCAAGATGGCTATGGCCACAGAGAGCAGGAGGGAGGCATTTCCCCGGCAACAGAGGAAGCCAAGCTTCCACTTGCCCTGGCCAGCCTAAGCCTCCACTCAAGGCTACAAATTTCAATTATAGAAGGTAAATCCAAACAGAAACAGCTGCCACCACTGAGTGAGCAGGAGGCTTGGCTCTGTTCCAGGCTACAAAGTTTCAATTGTAGAAAGTAAATATATCCCAGATACCAGGGCCTCTAATTGGGTAGCTGGGGTGTGTTGCCAGCCTGCAAACCACCACAGGCCCCTCACACAGGCTGCTCCAGGCCCCAAGGGAACCCCCACCCTGATCTAGGACACCCTTCAGGGCAAGCCAACTGGCCCCCACCTGTGCACCAGGTTTCTATCCTATCTAATAAAAGAGTAATATGCAGATTGACCATCACTCCAACACACAATATGGTTGCCCCCATATGGTCAAAGATCCCCCAGGTGGACACAAGATGGCCACCACAATATGGCCAGCAGGGGAGGGTAGTTGGGAGGGACCAGGCCTGCAAGGGAGGGCAGTTGTGGGTGATTAGGCAAGTAGATGAGGGCAGTTGGGAGGCACCAGGCCTATAAGGGAGGGCAGTTAAGAAGGACCAGGTCTGCAAAGGAGGGAAGTTGAAGGCGATAAATCCTGCAGGGGAGGACAGTTAGGGATGACCAGACCGGCAGAGGAGGTAAATTGGGGCAAACAGGCTGGCAGGGGAGCAGTTAGACATCAATCAGGCTGGCATGGGAGTGGTTAGGAGGTGATCAGGCTGACAGGCAGAAGCGGTTAGGGGCAGTTAGGAAGGCAGGCAGCTGAGCAGTTGGGAGCCAGCAGTCCTGGATTGTGAGAGGGATGTCCAACTGCCTGTTTAGGCCTGAGCCTGGTGGGCAGTCAGACATCCCTCGAGGTTGTCCCAGATTGGAGAGGGGCAGACTGGGCTGATGGACAATCCTCCCCCTCTTCCCCCGTACATGAATTTTGTGCACTGGATGAGACCATTCAATGCAAAATGGAACTGCCATTTTTAAGCATTGAGTACTTTTCCTTCGTATGGATGTAATAAGAATCTTCACTAAGGAGCAAATATTTCTTGAGTATTTACAATGTGACAGGTTTTATAATAGACACTGGATATACATGAGCTTATAAAACATGTATCCTTCCACTTATACAGCTTGTTATATCAGTGGTATAGCTTAAATTCTAATTTTTGGACATGTTAGTTTTTTCTGGATTTTTAAGGATAACCATCCAATCTAAATCTCTTCACATATGCTTTATTATTTCTTCAAGATACACTCAAGGAAGTTTCTCCTCACATATAGAGTCTAGACCTTCTTTCACTACTCTGAGCCAGGTGATACCCCAGTTTGGGTAATATAAAAGGATTCTCCCTGTAAGAATGTCATGATACTTAGTATACATAACATAAATCTTTGCCTTTATTCATATACTTTTATGTCATAAATTCATGTTTCATGCTATAAGCTATTTTTTTTCTGTGTATATTTCCTTTCTCTTTTGCAAAAATGTTTTATTTTCAAGGTGTGAGTCTGTTTTTGATATGTCCCCCTTTTTCTTAAAACCTGGGCATGTATTTGTTCCCCAATAATAATTTTCCTTGGACCAATTAGACCTTTAAACTCTGGCAGAACAACAACTCCTCCTCTTCCTCCTCCTCCTCCTCTTCCTCCTCCTACTTCTCCTCTTCCTCCTCTTACTCCTTCTCTTCCTCCTCCTTTTCTTCTTCCTTTTTATTTTTTGGCTATGACTGTATGAGATCACTTGACAAACAAGATTTTTTTAAATTTTTATTTCAGGAGTTGGTAACCTTTAGGGATGTGGCTCTAGATTTTTCCCAAGAAGAGTGGGAATGGCTGAACCCATCTCAGAAGGATTTATACAGAGATGTCATGTTGGAGAACTACAGGAATTTGGTATGGCTTGGTAAGGATGTCTCCCCATAACTCAAAACCTCCCCTCTGGAGTGTTTTTGCTTCTCCCATTGGGAATATCTAGTGGTTAGCTGAATTTCTACTTCTGTTCTCAGGGAATGATTTGAAATAAATTTTTAGTGTTAAAAATGAGTAACACCCTTTGCTGTAGAATGATGGTTTGGAATAAAAGCAGTATCAGTATGGCATGGGAATTTGTTAAATTGCAAATTATGGGGTCTCATTCTAGGCTATGGAATAAAAAAACTCTGGGAATAAGCCAAGTAGTCTGGGTTTTTTGTTTTTTGTTTTTTTTTAAAAAAAAATATTTTATTGATTTTTTTTTACAGAGAAGAAGAGAGAGGGATAGAGAGTTGGAAACATCGATGAGAGAGAATCATCAATCAGCTGCCTCCTGCACGCCCCCTACTGGGGATGTGCCTGCAACCAATGTACATGCCCCTGAATCGAACCTGGGACCCCTCAGTCTGCAGGCTCTATCCACTGAGCCAAACCGGTTTTGACTAGTCTGGGTTTTAATGAACCCTCCAAATGATTCTAATGTCCATGATAGTTTGAGAACTATTGTGGTTTCTGATTCAATAAGTCTGGGTTTGGGACTGGGAATATGTATTTCTGATGTTACTAAGTGTTGGTTCTTTTGTTCTAGCACTTTGAGAACCTCTGCTATGGAAGAAGTTTCATCTTCATCTTACATTCTCTAGTCCTTTCCATGTATCCTTTCTTACCCTATGACCAAGAGATATGAGTTCTGGAACAGCTATAGCATATTCTGCCTCTCCCACTTTCATTTTTCTTCTGCATTCAGGACTCTCCATTTCCAAGCCCTACACGATCTTCTTATTGGAGCAAGGGAAGGAACCTTGGATAGTGGAGAAAGAGATGTCAAATGGTCAATATACAGGTGAGTGATGGGAACTGGGTAGGACAGGCTGTTGTAAGGTTTCAGTCCAAGTGGTCATTATCAGGCTGCCCTGGTTCCAGAAGAAAACTGAAATCTATTTAGCATGAACTTCCCTGAAACTGTTACGCCCAGACTTCGTGATCCCCAAGGACCACCAGGGAGCCGAGTCCGATGCAATAAACAAAAGAGCCTGTACCATGCTAGCATGGGCCCCCCACTCATGCCGGCAGCATGGCGGAAGAGAGCGAGCTTCTTCCAGTCCAGGGGTTTTACTCAGGTCGATGGTGATGTCACTGCCTCGGCTAATCCTGATTGGTTGGGTGAGGGCTAGGGATAACTCCGCCCTGCGGGGTGGAGTCGGGAGCTCATCCCCACCCCGCCCTGCCGTCTCATTCCCCCCTTGTCTAATGTGCCTAGTCAAATCATTGACTCAGCCTACTTCCTTTCAGCATAAATAACAAATACAGTTACCAAGACCCTTAGTACCACAGTTCCCATCAGTATTGTCTTCACTAAGTCCAGTTCCTCTTCTGCAGGCATCAGTTCTCCTCTTGGCCTGTAGTTGCCAGGATCCAGGCTATGCAGGAACTGGGAGTCATGTATTCAGGTCTGGGTGCCATCTACTTCAACAGCAGTGGGCATGCTCAGGATAACAGTGCAGCATTCCTTTGAGTCCTTGGGCAGCGAATTTCTTCACCCACATTGAGTTCCAGGGCTACAGGGTCTGCGGTGGGAACTGGCAGTGCATCTGGAACAAGCAAACTGCAGAACCTGTAAGGACTTGAGCAAGGGAATGGTTACCATACATGATCCCCTCCCAAAAAGGGGAAACTTGTCCTAGTAAGGGATACACCTGGCCCTCACGAGGGCAAAGGACAGGGGGTTGGTCCAATTTTCACCGATTTTAGGACACATTTAATTAAATCCCTTTTTCTAGAGTCTCACTTTTCCTGTCTTAAGGCTAGAGCTATACTCTGAGATACCTTAGCTACCAAGGTGGGGCTGTTATCAGATACTGGCAGCCCAAATCTATAATCTCTTGGAGTAATCTTGTGACTACTATAGAGGCAGTTTCTGTCTTAGTGGAGTATACTTCAACCTAATCTGAAGTGTCTACAAAAACTAGACCTTAATGCTGGTGGTTTAATCTTCGAAATCCACCTACCAATGCTCTCCTGGGGAAGTTCCCTGGACCCGAATTCCCAGGGGGACCCCCTTACCTTGCTTAACATTTACCTGTGTACAGACAATACTTCTAGCAACTCTGCCTCACAGAAGTTCAGAAGTTTTGGTGACACTTAACCTGGTGTCACCGGGCAACTTGACCTAGAGCCTCTGGGACCAACAGTCTTGTCATCTGGAGGGTCCATCAACCATCTGGTCCTTCAGTGGCTTGCTTCTGTTCAGCCGATTCCTTCCGGCTGCAGTTGGTAACCCTCTTTTCTCTGTGGATGGCACAGTGTCTTCATCAAAGGGCCCGGATTAAGGCCAAAAGTTCTGGAACTGTGCCCAAATGGTGTGGTCCAGAGTGACTACCACTGCCCCTGCATATCAGGTCCCATTCTGAACATAACTGCTCCCATCCGTGAACAGTACCTTGTCGTCTGTTACCTCTGTGCAGTCATGAATGGGTTCCTCCATCATCATCTGGAAGCAGGCTGGCACGGTTGATGGCCAGAGTCTTATGAATCCGGACACAGGGCTGGTCCAGGAGAAAAGCCTGACCCATCCAGGTTAGCTCCTGGTCTAGAGTCCACTTATCTGCCTCCTTCACCAGCAATGCTGTGGTGGCCACTGCCTGGAAGCACGCTGGCCACCCCGCTGCCACAGGGTCCAGTCTCTTAGACAGATAGGCAACAGGTCTCTTCCAGGGACCTAGAGTCTGAGTGAGAACCTCTTTGGCAAAGCCTCTTACCTCACTCACATAGAGGTAGAAAGGCTTCGCGATGTCTGGCAAGGGTAGGGCAGCTGCTGAGATAAGAGCCTCCTTTAGCTCCTCAAAGGTCCATTGTCCAGTTCAGCAGCTGCGTTCCTTCTGTACATGTTTCTTCTGAGGTCCATAGACCTTCTTCGATGTCCAAGGATGCTCCCTGCTTTCTACAATAAACATACTAATTCCTTCCTATTAGTTGTTGGCCTTTTAATTTCAAATCAATTTCTAAACTTTCTTTCTATATAACTATGCCTCAAATTTTAAAGAAAAGGCAAAGGAGGAGGGAGCAGGTCCAGTACTCTGTTCCCAGGCCTCCAGCGGCTTGAAATTTAAAATGCCACATTTTTCCTACCAATATAGATCTATCTGCATTTCTAAGCCTCTTCTACTCCCCCCGCAGAACATCGGTGAAAATTGTCCAAGCAGTCGCAGGGGGTTAAATCATACAAATAATTGTTTTAACACAATTCTAAATAAATTATAAACCTTTGTGATGAAGTCTACTTAAAACTACACACATGACTGAAACCAAAAATGATTCCCAAAGTTTAAACAAAATACAAGATGCAGGTACATCCCAAATTCAAACTTACAATGCAAAGCAAAACAAAACAGATCAAATATAAAAGTTTCATAAGTTACATTAAACATGACTTCAGAAAAACTGACTTAAAAAATACTGCATCACTGACTTAAAAGAATTTTTTAAGTTTAAGCATTACATACTTTTTCATCTGACAAATGAAAATAAATCAATCCTTGAGATATTTGATCATTACTGCTTATTCTTAACACATAATACAGTTTAGCCAGTCATATTCTAGGCATCTAGTTACTGCAATTAACTTTTCCTAATTCAATTTATACTTTGGACTTTTAAAGCTGGCAAGTCAAATATATTTGGCATTTTTTTAGATTAATAACATTACATTTCTAATACATCCTGCTTAGCTGATACCAATGACAAGGAAGCTAAACATTGTATGCAAGGCCATCTAGGCAGCTTCACCACGTTATCATTTGCTCCACCCTGCAGATCACTGGAATTCAAATGCAAATGAACACATTCTTTAGCTAAAGACTCCCGGCCATGGCCATTACCATCTAGTTTCCACCTCAAGGTGGGAAATTGCAAAAGCTGGTACAATGACTTGGGAAACCAGTTTCAATTTATCTCCCAGTTATCTCCACCATTTTTAAAACTTATTCTGTACCCAGAAAAGTGTTTTTAAGCACAGCCCAAAACTATGCGCACTCGTTTTGAACTGGCCTTTTTTCTTTACTGAGCACAGAGATTCGCCCTTGAGCTCTTCTTCCATAGGATGTTGCCACAGACCTGAGGCCTCCACGCCAGCCCAGACCCCCAGGGCCCAGGCCCCCAGAGCGAGGCTGCTTTGGCAGTCCCAGCCACGCTACTCAGGCGCCCCCAAGGAGAAAGCGCGGGTCGCCCCAGCGGCTTCCCGGCTCCGCCTCCCCTTCTCCAGGCAGCCAGCAAATTAACCCAGGTGCCTGCTCCCCGAGCGAGGCCACCACTGCCCAGCCGCGCTCCACTGCACAGACTGAGCCCCGCGGGAGCCCCCCCTCCGGCCCAATGCCGCCAGGGGGCCCCGCACCGCCACGCCGGCCACACTTCGCCGGCTCCATCCTGGGGCGCCATGTCGCCCGCAGATACCAAACTCAGACCTGGGAAAGGCTCACTTTCCGCAGGTGAGGCAACGGCTCACGCCGCTCACCTCGTCCTGGAGAGGATTCATTCCTCTCCCCATGAGGGTCCCTCTAGGGCCCTCCAGGGAGGTCAGAACGTCTTCTGATCCTCCTGCCCGTGGCCTTCATGGTGCGTCCACCAGGCGTTTTCGGGCACCAATTCCATGAGGGGTTTTACGTCCCTCCAGAGCGCGCACACACCTACCGCGGCCAGTCAGACTCTCCGGATCGGGTTCCTCATGGCCCTAGGGATCCCGGACGAATTCCCCCATATGTTACGCCCAGACTTCGTGATCCCCAAGGACCACCAGGGAGCCGAGTCCGATGCAATAAACAAAAGAGCCTGTACCATGCTAGCATGGGCCCCCACTCATGCCGGCAGCATGGCGGAAGAGCGAGCTTCTTCCAGTCCAGGGGTTTTACTCAGGTCGATGGTGATGTCACTGCCTCGGCTAATCCTGATTGGTTGGGTGAGGGCTAGGGATAACTCCGCCCTGCGGGGTGGAGTCGGGAGCTCATCCCCATCCCGCCCTGCCGTCTCAAAACCTCACCTACACCTTGGCTTTTTCCTTCCTATATATGTTAAATTATATTCGCTCTAATACTTGTACCTATACCCTGAATTCAAGTTTTTCCCATCTCTTTTTTCCTATTTATAGTCAGAATTGTATACACTTATAGATTTATTTTCATGAAAGTTATTATCAAAGTTATATATGCACAGTGTTTAAAGAGTCAAGTGGTTTTATAAGACTTATTCCTTTAAAAAAGACAGTCTCTTGCCCTGTTTCTCAGTTTCCCTCTCTCTAGAGGGATCCACTTTCTTTTATTTTGCAGTTTCTTTTGGTGTTTCCTATTTTGTGATTATTTTTTAAAGTTTAATCTTTATCAATATTTTCTCACCTAGAAAATAATAATTTAGTACTTTTTTATCCTGAATCCAACACATATGCACATGCGTGCGCACACACATCTCTCACCAAAATCATAACTTTGGTTGAAATAAGTGTTTACATTACTATGAATTTTAAATGCTTGTCACAGCAGTGCTGTACATATAAAGATTACTTTTTTTCTGTAAACTTCTTAAAAATAATTTTTTACTAGTATTTTGCATGACAGTTAACATACAATATTATATTAGTTTCAGGTGATTAGATATTATACAACTTACTAAGTGATCATCCTATTAGGTTTCATATCATCTGACACCATACGTAGTTATTAAAATACTAGAGGCCTGGTGCACAAAATTTATGCACGGAGAATGGGGCCCTTAGCCCAATCCGGGACATCCCTCTCATAATCCTGTACCCCTGACTCCTAATCTCTTACTTGCCTGCCGGCGTGATCACCCCTCACT